TCTTTACATTATATTGGTACATTTACGAGAACACTTTTCACGCAAGTACTTCAGAGTGGTGATAGCAATAGTTTAAACGACCCGTGACTTCCATCCTTTTTCTCGTTGGATAGATTCGTTAGCATTTCGTTTGATCTTCTTCACAGTAAAGCAAAGCAGGCCTGTAACTTCCGTTGAAAGCTTAAAAAAAATGGTTTCGAATTTTGTAAAAGCAGCAGAGTAAGAAATTTGAATTTTCAGAAGCATTAGAGGTACTGAATTACAGGGCATAAATGGGAGATATGTCGGAGTTAAAAAAAGAACCAATTTTTTGTACTGGCTGGTATATCTATCAGCAACACAAAAAGCATTTTAGATGTATCGAATGCCACAGAATCCAGACTTATAGCTGCAGTATGCATCCAGTCGTATAGTTAAGAAAAATGATTGTTCTTGAAGGTTGCATCACTGACAAGGTATACTGATAATTAAAGTCCACTCAGTTGTTCAGATGTTTATTTTAAAAAGAAAACGTCACGGGTCACGTTGATAATGAACCTGCTCACATGGCAAAATTGGGAACAAATTGGTCTGAAAACATACAAGTGAGCTTGAATTCGTTCTACATTCCGCAGCCCCCTTCCGATTACAACCTGAGAAACATTTTCCTCCTCCTCCGTCATGTCGATTGTTTGGGAATAGGACTGATAAAAAATATTCTTAACTGGAAGACTTGTATTAGTCATTTTCAAGCAAAATGTTTACAGTAACGGTCTCTAACCGTCTCAATGAAATAAATACACCGTATTTCTAAAGTCTTCAGCCGATTTCGAAGAGTTGTAGCTTTCAAACCGTTAATTGTATTTGAATACATTTTGACATATTTTCGCCTACAGTTCTAAAAAAAAAAAAGTGTTCAAATTTTGTTTGTTGTTGGATTTTGCCACAAGGGTGTAAGAGCAATGTACTCTAGTGATATCACTAACGATCAGGCAATTCGCCAATGCTCGATATGGCGAGCCAACCGCAGTAAGCTTTTCGTGTTCTTCAGATCTAGGCATAAAATCGTTACAGATGAGCAGGATATTTTTCGTCGAAGATTCAGAACTGAACTTCTCACTGAATTAGAAATAGAATAGCACTTGTATATAGAGGGAAGAATCTTATGTTCCGCAAAACGTTTAAATGCTCACTGTGCATCTGAGGAAATTATTGAGCGAAGTAAAATGCATTCCCTCGTAATCCTCAAAAATCGATACAGTGATCAATCCGTAAGCTTCGCATTTCCCGTCAAACAGTTTGGAAACTGTTATAACTTTCTTCACGAAACCTACAGGATTCAACTGCAGATACTTCCTCAAGTCCTTCCAGGAAAATTGTATTCAGTTATGCATCTCTTTTTTGCAGAAGAGAATGAAAGTTTCCATGTTGCGCTTGGATTTCAGTGACGATGCCACGACTCATTTATCTGGGCAAGTAAGTAGAGAGTTGGAATTTCGAGAATGTAACAGCCGCATATTATGATGGAATAAGAAAAGTTAAAGCATTTGTGAGGTTTCTTATGGCTCTTTTTTGCAGATAAAAAGGAAATGGCCTTTTTTCCACAGTTTTAGAAAGATACACAGTTCCACAGTTCAACTTCCGATTTGATGTGAGCCGATCGTTCAAAAGAAACAAGATTTATCATTTTTTAACATTTTATTGAAAACTTTGCGTAACTATAATTATTTTACATTTTGTAACAAATTTGTATTGTTTCTTCCAACACAGCATTTTGAAATCAGGTGCAGGCTTTAGAAACTTCAGTTATATTCTAGATGGCAGTGTTTCAGTTTCATTGTCGAACTCCTATAATTGTTTCAGAAAAGTCGGTTTCAGCTTTCATGAAGCAGATGAAAAAAATTGTAAACCTCTACAGTTACATTTCATTTTGATGAGCTGACATTATTCCAAGCCTTGAAGTAAAACCATATCAGCATGAAGATTTAACAACAAGTATCTACATGGAACAACAATATGTAAATATAGAGAACAAATTATTAGTTTTTGCAAAGCTGGTGAAAAAATATCCTTGCTGACATAATAAATTAAATGGGAGAATGCAATGATGATGGGAAGGAAGAAAAATAAAAGCAAACATAAAACAGCCCTTCTTAACTGCAGAGAAAACTGTTCATTTTAGTGTAGCATTAAATTAGTTGATCTACATAATTATTTGGAAACATTATCGTTAATAGAATGTATACGCTCTATTGTCTAAGCTGTATCCACCAAAAACAGAAAAACCTGTATTATTTTTGTATGAAAATTTAATAAATAAAAGCATTTAACTAATCATAAAAAATAAGTAGAAATAAGTAATAAAAAATAAGTTTTCAGGATAATGATGTAACTTGAGTAAATTGTGATGTAACTTGAGTGACATTCTGTAACTTGAATAAAATTTCAGAACATTCAACTTTCATTTTGCCTTTATATTTCATTTTGCTAATATAATAAATAAAAATGTGTGAGAGAAAACCTTAGAAAAAAAATTAAAGAACATTGTTACGAATATTGTACTTAAATAGGTAATTTTAGTAGAATTATTAGTAAAATTGTTGCATTTCTTTTGTAACATGAAAAATCTAAAGAGAAGCTATGCCGTAAAAGTAAGAATACAAGGGCAAGTGCATTTAACATTGAGTAAACAGGTATCTCGGTAATTTGGAGATATATCGCCAAGCTGACAACTGTTTTGGCGACTTATTTTGTCCTCAAATTTGGCGAGAAACCGCCAAAAGTCGCCAGATTTGGAAAGCTACATTATGTATAACCTGAATAAATGTAATTGACCACTGTGTTAGCTATAACCATAATTCTACCCTCGTATTGCTTTCCAGTAATTTCGAAAAGCAGAAAGTACTTAGAAATATCTCGGTGGCCAGTTGAGCATCTGCTCTCAGTCACTTAGTAATTCTTGTTGCTAGTTGCTAGTTCCACGTGAATTGAAATATCCAAGAGTGCGCTTTGCATTACGTTGTGTTTATCATTCTTAGTAGTTTGATGCGTAACTGCTGATTGTAATCTGTAATACTGTGAACTCTTCTACGAGTATTTCTGTGGAAAATTCCAGAACTTTGAAATATTTATTTTGATAAAATAAATTTTTATTAACCTGTCATCGGATTTGTGTGCATTCAAACTGTTACGAATCCGTATGCACGCAACAATAAAACAGACGAAATAACTGGCAGTTGAACGTAAATTGTTGTAACAATATGAAACATTTAAATACACATCATCAGGGGGGGGGAATACTTTAAAATCGTTCCCTTTGTCACATCTAGTAGGCCGATCTTACAACCTTTTAACTATGAATCTGCGCATAGAAAGGGGAAGCACCATCAAAATGCTGACAGTTTAAGTCGTTATAATTATACATCTCTCAACTAAAAATATATAGTCTAGAAAGTTTAAAAGTTCGTTGTTTAAATTTTTCTAATATCAGAATATTAAATTTTATATATTTAAAATACTTGTTTAAAGGCATTTTTACTCATTTGGTCTGGTATCTAATTGCATTTGTTACAGATATATACTTGAACATTTTTGTCTTGTAAACAAATTTAATAAATTAGTTTTAATGTATTTAAGCTGAAAATTTTGAAAATTCCAAAGAATTTTCAATTTCAATTTTCAATTCTTTGGAATTTTCAAAATTTTTTCGAACACATTTTTTCGAACAGTTCCCCGTAGGCGAAGGAGTTCAAGACTGTAATAACGTGTTTGCGTTGCTGCGCTACCAACATAATACCAGTAAGAAATGTAAAGAAACTTTAAAATATCCGTGCTTGAAGATTCATGCGCTTGAAATGTTTTTCAGTTATTCTGTAAGTTTGACTAATAAAGTTGGTTGTTCGATCAAAATGGCGAGATTCTTTAACACTTTATTACAATACCTAGTAATGTAATGAAATCAATAACATCGGTTTTCGTGTGTTATCAAAATTTACTCATAGAAATTCACTGATATTTTAATAGTAAACCCAATAGATGTACCATTATTTGAAATTTAATAGTAAGCAAAATGTATTTTAATTACCGTTAGTGCTATAATAAAATAAAGTCCGTATGCTTCGAAGATACTGTTTGGCTTGCCCTTCCTTAGGAACAAAACCAAGCAAGGGCACATTTTAATTCGGTAATGCATTGCGAAAGCTACGTAATGTTACCTAGCAATTCATTAAAAAGATAAATAAGATGGTATGAGAAAAATTGTTGGGAACTGAGTTTGAAACTCGAATCTTGTACTAAAATTTATAGCTATTACATACTGTAAAGCTTGAAAGATAATTCATTCTTTGAAGAATACTGCGAATTTCATCAAAGAAAAATTTAACCAAAACAATATTATCCAATGTTTACGTGGTGAACAAAGAACAACTATGAAAAATTGTTTCTTCCCCTTCCCCGCAAAATTCGTGTTAAGGGATTTAAGATGACTCGTGAAATAAAATAGCCAGTATAACCAGCGGTTGATGTTTTTCCTAAATATATTTTTTATTATCTTCCTGTTGCCATTTACCAGTTTGAAATAACTCTGTTGCCATAACTACGAACTTGAAAATCATGAGGTTAGGTATTAAATTATACTGAAATTTAATTAAAGAAACCAATAATCACTAAAATTCCAGGTAGAAAGAGCGGTGAATATAAATTAAAACGTAAATCATTTTCTAGTTCATACAAAATATGATGGAACAGAATCGAAAATAATATGCAGTGTCAATTCAGTTTAAATTACAAAAAAAAAATGAACTCTTTTACCGTGGAAGATACAATTAATATTTTTCTGGGGACAAAAGCAAAACTTTAAAAGAATACTCCAATACAGCATTTCGAACTAATAAATTAAATTTAATCATTCAAAACTTAATAAACTAACTATGGAATATACTGTAGAATTCACGATGCATTTTTAATGTAGAATTTATACTGAAAACTTTTGCACTGATAAAATAACAAATATCATATTTCAGGTTATTACTTCAACAAAATGTCCGAAGAAGATGCAAGCAAGAAATGTGACATACAGATCATTAGAGGTCTTCCTTTCCCAGCAGTCTCATGGTTTCATAAACAAAATATCGAAGAAGCATTAGATTATATCCCTGAGGATGAAGACATCATTATTGCTTCATATCCTAAAACAGGAACCACATGGCTTCAGTATATTGTCTTACAAATACTTTCAAATGGTGATTCCTTCCCCACTTTCGACGACATCTTATACCGTGTTGTCCCATTTGTGGAGATGACAGGAATTGGAGCTGTGAAGGCCTTGGAGAAGCCTCGAGTGTACAAGCACCATATTCCATACAATATGGTACAAAAAAATCCCAAATCGAAATATCTTTATATTTATCGAAACCCTGAGGATACTTTGGTGTCTTACTTTTATTTTATGCAAGATCTTAGGAAAACTGAATTGGATTTCAATGAATTTTTTGAGCAGTTTCTCAGTGGAAATATAGGATATGGACGTTACTTTGAGCATATTCTCTCCTTCCTAGAACATAAAGATGACGAGAATTTGTTACTTATATCATATGAAAAATTACACAAGAACAGGAGAAAAGAAATTTTAAGAATAGCAAAGTTTCTTGGGGAAAATTACTTTCAACAACTCCTGGAAAATGAATCAATAATAAATAAAATAATTGAACATACTAGTTTTGACTACATGAAGAAAAATCTATGCTTGACCCACCCAGCAGAAAAGGAAAAAGGCGAAACTGCAAGTACAGTTGCATGTTTTAGGAAAGGGATTGTTGGTGATGGAAGAAACGTGCTATCAGCTGAACAGCAGAAAAGACTAAGAGAATTGACGGAAAAAATTATGGCTGGAACTAACGTAATAAAAGAATGGCTGGAAGAATAACAATGAACAATTATGGGGGCATCCTTTACTTCACTAGAAGAATAAATCCCGCTACAAGTTGAATTTAAACTAGTATTTAATATAAAAGTTTTTTTTAAAAAAAAAGTATATTTATGAACTTGAGGTATATTCTTGAAAAACGTTAATATGGTTTGCAGTAAACAAATAACAAACAAAATCAGAGAGTACATATATCAAATTAATAGCTTTCGTCTTTATTATTTGCAGGAGAAGAAGAACTATAAATATGCCCACAACTTAAAGAAATCACATTGCAAATATAAATTTATAAATAAACTGTATTATAATATTAAATTGAATAAAATTTGAGTTGAAAATTAAATCTAGTAATGTGATTAAATTTTATCTGGATGAAATAAATCCATAAAATGTGAAAGAAACTATAATGAATTGGTGTTCAAAATTAAAAAAATAAACAAGCTTTTTTTTTTTTTTTTTTTTTTTTTAATTTCTCAAAAAAATACTAAAGCAAAACAGGTATTACATAATCTCGTAATAAAAGCGCAACAAACGCGTAGCGCATGATGTTGCAAAGACATTTTGCTGTCTTCAAGATGCCCAGATATCCGCAAAATTGCAACGTTGCAAAAACATCGATTTCACGTTTTTATGTGTAACAGTTTTGACACAAACACAGATTTCACATCTTTAGGTAGAGCATTTTTAACATAAAGATGTCATTTTCATGTCTTTCCAAACAATAGTTTCGTCACATAAAGCCAGAATACTATGTTGTAACAAATCATATTGCGACATATTGAAAACTTTGTAGTGTAATTCACTTTTTCGGTTGATTATTTTTAAAACAACCCCTAAAAGGCAAATGTCAGTACTAATACATTTAGTTCTGTAATTTACCTATCTGGGATTGTTGCAAAGGCTCATAACGCTTTTTTGATCTGTAAAGGCCCCTTCAATACCTGTAGGCTGTCTCAACGTGGCGAGGGAGTGGCACTGGGGGGAATAGTTGAAGTACGTCGGGAGTGTATACTCCTGGTTGGGCCACTGAAAGCGTGAAGACTATTCCACTACCCAGCTAAAAGTCTATGGGCATCTGAGCTAAGCCAGTCCTCTACCATTGGTGCTCGGGTCTCACGACTTATAGAGGCTGCCCTTTTCCTCCACCCATGAGTCATGAAGCTTTCTAATGTAATCCATACTGCATCGCCCGTCTCGCAGGTTCAAAAGGGGCGCGTTCGAGATTTAGGAAGAGGACCTCGTCCGAAAAGTAATCTATAGTCTCCTAGACTACGAACTCTTAAAATAATCCAATGTAATGTTAATGGTATTTCAACATTGGCAGCGAAATCTAAACTTGACCAAATATTGGAGTTGGAAGACCAGGAAGCTCAAATTATTGCTCTACAGGAAACTAAATTGAGAGAGAATTCTCAACTAAAAGTTAAGGGATACAACATCATCCGTTTAGACAGACATAAGAAAGGAAGCTGTGGCTTTGTTTTCCTTATCAGAGATATTAACTATATTTCCAAAAGCTATAATGCACCCACTGGTTCAGATTTAGAATTGCAAGGCATCACTGTTATGTGGAGATGTGAACCACTAGACATCTTTAATTTATATTACCCTCACAACATTGGTAATCAGCCTGGAGTCTTTGATAATCTTTTATCTGGAAATACTCTACTTCTGGGTGACTTAAATGCTAAGCATCCAGCGTGGGGATATTCTTCCCAGAATCAGAGAGGAATTGATCTTCTTCATTCTGTAGATGACTCAGGTTTCATGATCCTTAATGATGGTACTCACTCTTCATATAGTTATAACACGTCTGAAGCCCTTGATTTGTCCATAGTAAGTCCCCCTATCTTTCCAATTTACACCTGGACAGTTTTGAAGAACATTGGGAGTGACCATTCTCCAATTTTAATTCAAATAAAGAAGAAACAGTGTACTTTCCTCAATCGTAAAAAATATTGGAATTTTGTTATGGCAGACTGGAAGGCCTTTAATGATCTCGCTGACACACTGGCTGAACCTAGCATTCATTCAAGTGACCTTGATATTAACTGAATTACTTTCAAGCACATGCTCTTCAAGGAGCTAAAAGAACGATACTTAGAGGAAACGTAAAACTCTTTAATCCCTACTTTACTCATAATTCGCCGGCTTTGCTGCGTTTGTTCCGGAAGAGAGAGAACCTGCGACTCGAATTGAAAAACAATAATACAGAGCAAAACAGGACAGAGATGAACAAAGTCAATGCAAAAATAAAACGAATCTATGTGCTGCTCAAGAGGAAAAGTGGATGGATACATGTGAGGGACTTGATGCTAGATCATCTGACACGAAATTGTGGAAATTGATCAAAAATATTAGCAGTGAACAACCTCAGATAAAGAGATGTAATACTATTTGAGATACGGATGTCAACATCCCTATAGACGACAAAGCTGCGGCTGATCTCCTCGGGGCACATTACCAGAAGATAAGTGAGCTGACTTTTACAGAGGTTGATAAGAAAGTGGCAAAAATATCTAGAGATCTTGCACATGGATGTCGTAGTGCTGTCTCGGGCAATCCTTTTTTCTTTAAATCTTTTTCCATGCATGAATTGGAGATGGCATTGGAGAATCTTGACCAAAACTCCTGGACCTGATGGCATCCATGGGATGTTGGACATTCCGGTAAATAGGGCATCTTGGCATTCATGCAAGAAAGAAATTTCTGAATATAGTGAATCGATCTTGGAGTCTTGGACGCCTTCCTAAAGAGTGGAAAAGAGCCACAATCATACCTGTTGAGAAACCTGGCCAAACCAATGGATCTCCTGGGAGCTTCAGACCCATTGCCCTAACCAGCATTGCATGGTTGCTCTTCCTCCTGGATACCCATGACCTCCTACAAAAAGAACAGTACGGTTTCAGAAGAGATCATAACACCACTGATCAATTGATTTATCTCAGCCAGACGATTAGAGATGCTCAAAACAAGCGACCTACCAATCATACTGTGGTTGCTTTTCTAGATTTATCAAAGGCATTTGACCGTGTCTGGAAATATAAACTAATTATTAAACTCTACGAAGACTCTGGCATCAGGAATAAGGCCTGGATCGCAGATTTCTTAAGAAATAGACTGATAAAAGTAAAGCTTATTTCCACTATGTCAAACACCTTTAAATTGAACCAAGGTGTCCCCCAGGATTCTGTGTTGAGCCCAATTCTTTTCTGTCTGTATTTGGCTGGAATTGAGAAGATTATATCAAGGAGATGTGAGGTTGGGTTATTTGCGGATGATATCGCCCTGTGGAGCTCTGACCCAGATGTGAGTTCAACTGAGACCAATATAAATCTTATCCTTGAAGAAGTGTGGAAATTCTCGAAAGACCACAAATTGAGTTTTAATCCAACTAATTGTTAGTTTTTTACCACCAATAAGAAGTTTTATAATTATCATCCAAAAGTTTTCATGAATAACTTGCCTCTTACGTATGACAAACATCCCAAATATTTGGGCTTCGTTCTCGATCCAGAGATCACTAGTAACAAACATGTGGATGCACTGAGTCGATGCTTGCACCTTGAGAACTACTTATTCAGCTATCAATACGACCTATTTTGGAATACGGTTTCCCCGTTTATTGTTGTGCCTCTTCTACCAACCTCCAGAAATTGGAAAGAGTCCAACTTAGTGCTTCTCGTATTATATCTGGCTGTTGCCCGAATAAACAGACCTTCAACCCCTTAGCCTAAGAAGAAATGCTGGCCTTGCAAATATTATAATAAAGTTTTCAGTTATGACTCGAAAAATAGAACTTCAGAATTCCTGCAGCACTGGAGTAATAACCAAAGACTTAAAAAAAATAGCCCACTTAGTCAACTTGAGTATGCTGGTATAATTGACCGTAATGTTGAGCAGCATTCCTTGAAACAATGTTTAGATCCGTCTGAGGGACTCCCTAGAGTCGAGTTTCATACGGAACTTTTGTCTCGAGTTTCCAAGAAAAATTATATCCCGGCTCTGTTACGACAATATGCCTTAGAAACTATACACACAATTCCCGCTGAAGGTACCCTTATCTATACTGATGAAAGTAAAAGCGAGGACTCTCGTTCCGGTAGTGGAGTTGTCATTAAATGCACAAATGGAAATATTGTTAAAATAAAGAAAAATTCTGACTTCAGTTCGGCTTTTAAGAGTGAGCTTATAGCCATCGAAGAGGGACTAAACGCTGTTTCGTACTTTACAAATCTTAAGGCAGTATGGTTTTTGTCTGATAGTCGTAGCGTTATCCAATATCTTTCAAACTGGCGAAGAGTTATGATAGGGCCGGAATTGCAATTCTTAGCAAGCTTAAGCAGATCTCGTCACTCTGTGAAATGCACCTTCAGTGGATTCCTTCCCATGCTGACATATGGGGGAATGAAATGGCAGACAGTCTGGCGAAGGAGGGTTCTGAAGAACCATTACCAGTTACCAATTCATTGACATATCTTGAACTGTATTCCATTAGAAGACATGCAGACCAGCAAATTTGGCTCGTTCCCCCGAATCATCCTTGGTATCAAGCTGATTGTCCTGGAAGATCTCTTGCTATTGATTGCGATAGATGTGTTCAGACAACACTTTCCCGATTCTTCAGTGGACACCTGAAAGGACTTACTTTTGAGAGAGGTATCAAAATGCACCCAATTTGTTCTAAGTGTCCAAATCCACATATCCTTGAGTGCCTGGTGTTGTCTCTTGAGGACCTTTACAAGTCTCCTAAGCTTGTTTTCGATTTTCTGAAGATAAATGGACTCGTGGACCTCGTCCAGTATATTCCTAGACATGTAGATTAGTAACAACACAACGCTTTTTTGAATATGTATCCTGTTTTATTGGAATATTCGTTCACTAAAATCTTATTTAATTTCTGAATTCATAATTTTTCTTGTTTTATCCTTACACTCTGTCATTATCTGCTTCCTCAATTTTCGGAACATCTAAATAAATTGCATATTTATTCAATTCTACAATTTTTTACAAATTGTTAATTAGATAAAAATTATTTATAAATTAATAGAACTTGAATAAAATCTTAAAACTCTCCAAATTTTTCACCATATGATATAAATGAACTCAATTCAATTATATCGCATAGTGAAATAATATTATTGTTACGGATTTTGAACACTGTAAATAATTTTAGTGAAATTATAGTATTTTTTATGATGTAATAAGCAATTCTGGAAAGAGAAGATGCCCTGCTGGAAAATAATACAACGACAAATCTATTTAAGTGAATGGCTATCTCGCTAAATTGGCGAGATATCTCCAAGCTAGTCATGGGTTCGGCGAGGCAAAAAACCACCCCAA